TGATCTATGGTTTGGAGTGAATATAGACGCACAGAATACATCAAGCCTAAGGTAGCCTTGGAGGATCTGTGTGCAAGGTCAGAGGTCCTTGATGGTCATGTATAACATGGCATCTTCGTATTATGTGAAGTCAACGTACCACCTTTTAACCATTCCTGCACTGTTGGACATTGAGATTATTAATAGTTGTTCATGTCTCATTTCCCAGTGAAAACTGTAGGTTGCTGGTCTGTTTTTAGATTTCCTTCATATCTTACCTAGGATAGTGTAGTGCACATAACGGGGCCACAATAGAAAGTTGTTATGTTAATGCTAGATTTTTTTACTTTTACAAAAATCCATTTCCATAGTAAAGGAACATGAAAAAATTTCTTTATCAATTCTACCCCTAAGATTTTTATGATTCTGAATATATGGAAGAAAAAGAAGTCATGTCAGAACTAGGGCTGGAAAAATGAAAGTTTTGAATAGATACATCTGAATCAAAAAGTCTAAGAGGTATATAGATATAGACACATCCTGGATCTCCAAAGTGTGTTGGGGGGTGTGTTTGTATGTATACATATCTACAAATATACCCATGCAAATACATGCAAATATATATATGTATATTTCTATATATCTAGTGTGCCTCTTAGATCCAGAATATATGTATATCTATTCTTTTAAAAATTTTTATTTATTGTATTTTTAATTTATGGAATAAAACAAGCATTTCCATAACATAGTATAATTTTTTAAAAAGATGATTGCACATGAAATTGTATATCTATTATACACAACTTGCTATTCCTTTCAAATATATAATAAAGTTATGTAAATTTATTTTTTTCCTTTTTTCCTCCACCCTAGAGATGGCTACCATTAGACACAAATATGTATATATATGTAAAACCATTCTATACATACTTCTATTTATCAGTTCTTTCTCTGGATGCAGAGAGCATCTTCCTTCATATATCCTTCTTAGTTAATTTGGGTATTTATAATAGTCAAAACGACTTTAAGAACAACTCTGTATCTATTCTTAAAGCACAAATCTGACCATATCATGTACTGACTCAAGAAACTTTAATGGCTCCTGTTAGTTCTAGGATAAAATATAAACTCCTCTGTCATTTAAGCCCTTCACAATTTATTCCAATTTATTTTTCTGGGCTGATTATATCTTACTACCTTTCACAAACACTCATACTAGTCTTCATCATGATCTCCAGAAACTCTTCATCTTGCAAGTTTATATCAGCTTGAGAACTCCCACCTCCTTGGTATCTCCTGCCCCTCGGTCCCTTGCCTCTTGATTGGAGGGGAGAGTCATTAGAGAGCTCCTCCCAGATCCTCCATTTAAGGAGGGTGCTCAGGATGGCCGTCTCGTTGTCTCTCATCCAACTGTATTCTCCTTCCCCTGCTTTTCATTCCCTTTTTTTTTGTGTTGACTTCTCCATTAGATTGTAAGCTCCTTGAGGGCAGGGACTATCTTTTGCCTCTTTTTGAATCTCCAGCACTTAGCACAGTGTGTGGCACACAGTAGGTGTTTAATAAATATTTATTGACTGACTGATTGACTGAAGGAACTTCCAGGGTGAGAAGGCAGCTGAGGCATGGTGGCAAAGTCTGGTGAGTTAGAAGCAGGACCAGGAGAGGAAAGAAGTTCTGCCCTTTTAAAATTTTTGACCTTAGTTCCGCTCTTTCAAGTGAGTTGGAAACAGTCTAATTCCTCTTACACAAGACAACCCTTCAAATATTTGTACCTCTTTATGCATCTATTAATTTCCCCATTTGTAAACTGGGTTTGGAAATGGTCATTAGCATATCAGTTAATCACTATTAAGGACCTTCTGTGTGACAAAAATACTAGTGTGCTAAGTGCTAGTGATACAAAGACTAAAATAAAAGGCTTTTCCCTCAAAGAACTTAAAGAAATCATCAGGAAAGGAGTTTTCATACCAGGAGGTCCACCACCTCCATCTAATTCTCCTGTCTGTGGTCCAGACCCAGTGCAGTTTAGTTTGCTTGTTGAATTGCCAAGGATATTTTGAAGTCTATATTTGTAGCTGTGTCTCAATGGAAAAAAACAAACAAACCCTGGGAATGCTACCCCAGGATATGCAAGCAACCCATGAATGCAGGACTGTCTGTCATTTATAGCCCTAGAATGGTGTGGGGAACCTGTGACCTTGAGGCCACGTTTGGCCTTCTAGGTCCTTGGGTGTAGCCTTTTGACTGAGTCCAAGTTTTATAGAACAAATCTTTTTGTTAAGGGTATTTGTTCTGTGAAGTTTGGATTCAGTCAAAGGCCCCAACCTAGGACCTAGAAGACCATACACAACCTCGAGGCCCCACATTCCCCATCCCTGAAAATCATTGCCTGTGGTGCTGAGAGGTTGATTTCCCTCCCCTAGCATCTTTTACAGAGGGAAGATCAAATTGACTCCCAAATTGGCCCTCTAATCATGACACCATGCATGGAGATGCCTTGACTTATGAGAAATTGCAACCATTGAAAAATGTTGTTGAAGTTAGTCTTGTGTGGGGTGATTGTGACCCCCAAAATAATCAAATCAGAGACTTTTTCTTAAGAAAGGCAAAAAGGAGTTTTATTGCTTTCTCACGAGAAAGGACACACCCAGCATTTGCTCAAGATGGCTCCAGCCAGGGTGTGCGAGGGGAGTGTAGATCAAAGCCAGTTTATGCAGACCCTAAGGCGGAACCCCCACCCTCCCACTGGCTCCTCTTCCCATTGGCTGGGCTTCAGAGCTCACAGTCTAAGCCCGGAAACTTTTCCCCAGCAACAAGGTAACAAGGAACTGTTGGTTCAGCAGGAAAGTAAGAAAAAAGGAAGGGAGAGCCAGAAAGACTGGACAAACAAGATACTTTCGGGGACATAGCCTGATGTCCTCTCATATCTTGTTTACATATTTGTGTAAACCAATAAACCAAGAAATCAATTAATCAATGACATAATCTCCCCTGTCCTGTTTTCTTATCAATTCTGTGGGAACCAAACTGTTAGCATTCCTCACAGTCTGGAGGCTGAGATTACAAACTAATCAGTCCCTGATAGAGAGAGACAGGGGGACTGAGGCTCCCTGAGCCCTGACTACAGGGCCGGTTCCTCTAGAGCTTTTCTTTAGAATACTCTCCCCCAACATAATTTGCAGCCCATATAGATTCCGAGCAAATAGCAATTTGATACAGATCCCAAAGAGGCCACTGAACTGCTAGGCTGGCTTCACTTACACACTTCATTTATCTACAATAATAAGAATATCAATACTGTGGATTTATCTTCAGCTTTTCATCTGAGGAGGTCAAAGCATTTTAATTTAATTGTATATTCCCCTGACTTTAAGACCCACTGGGTGTATTTACAAATGTAATAATAAGAACTCAGCTCCATCTCAGTTTACAATTTAGCAGATAACATCAAATCAAAATCTGCACATGCACTAGTTTCTGCCCTGACTAAAACACAAACGCCTCAAATGACTTAGCTTCGGGTTCAAGGACCTGCATTCATTCTAAATTCAACACACATTTATTGATCACATACTTTGTGCTGTTAGGCATAACAGATAGAAGTCCAGCCTTGGAGTTGGGAAGCTCGGGGTTCAAGTTTAAACCAAGACAGATACAGAGTTTAATGCCCTTCCTGAATTCTGTGGTCCAGTAGTTACTTGATGAGAAAGGGAGAGGTGTGAGCTAACTGTGATAGCAAAGGCTGAAGAGCCCTGGGCATCATCGGCTGAAGTTTTAATTTAGAGTTATTGATTCAAGGTAGAATACGCAGTGAATCACCTGCTTGGCCTGCTGCCTTTGTTGCTTGCCTGACTTCAATTAAAACAAAAATTGCAGTCTTTGGAGGGTGCTGATTCATAACACTAGGACGCCAGAAACTATTTGCTTTCCCCTTTTCTCAGAAGTTCTTCAATCTTCACGGTTATGTGTTTCTTTTACATTTCTTGGCATGACCTTTTTTCCAGCTTCTCCCTCTTCATCTTTTCTCTCACTTTTCTGTCCTTTATACTTCTTCCTCTGGCTTTTTTTTTTTAATGCTTCAATATTTGACATAGTGAATGAATCTGTTGCATGAGACCTAGGAGAGCTCAGAAACTAAAATTATTAATTTTCAAGTAACATAAAAAACTGCACATAAAAATCTAACCAGGTTAATTATTACTATTTTTTAATCTCTTATACTTCATTCTGACAGAGGGCTGTTTTAAAGTTCTAGACAGTTACATTGTACTTCCTCTCTTATCCAACTGTCTATGTGTTTTTAGCTTTATCTGGAGATGCTGGAACATTGGCATGAAACAAATGTGTAAACTAAACAACCAAAAAAAAAAAGCAGAATTAAAAATATTTTTTTAATATCCCAAAGAGAAATTTGCATTTTTATTACATTTTATATACTCTTGGGTTTTAGACACAATTGTCTTGAGTTAAAATGTCTGAAATTTTCAAAAATCAAACTTCTAGAAAACAAGATTCTGACAGTTTAGGGATATACCAAAACTTTTGTCCCCTATGGATTTTTTTCCCTTTGAGAAGTCCTCGGACAAGTGGATACTAATTTTTAAAACTCCACAAAGACCTAAAAAATCACGTGAAAAACATTAAGATCAAGTATAATGAAAAAAAAATTAAGACCGGAATAAAAGTAAGTGAAAAACAGTGATCAGGACCTTTACGAACCTGTAGTTGGTTTAATTTTCCCACGCTTCCAGCGCATGCCAGAGGGAAATGAGCTTGACAGCGGAAATTCTCGGTTCATGGACAGAACTACAAGTACCAACATGCTTTGCGGAAAGGGCTGGTCGCGGCACAGAAGATTGAGACCTCTGCTCCCGCCTTCTCACTTTCACTATTGGATTTTTGGGCGTACAGCAACGCCCCTGCTCTCAGGCGATTGGTGAAAACTTCTAACGGGTTCGCGCTCAGTGGTTGAGAGTCCTTTTTCCGCTTCTTCTCTCCTCCTCACTTCTTGCCCCCCGCCCCGTACCAAGATGGCGGCAGAAGCAGCTGGTGGGAAGTACAGGAGCACAGTCAGCAAAAGCAAAGACCCCTCGGGGCTGCTCATCTCCGTGATCAGGTGAGGGAGGCCAGAGACAGAAGGCCGCACTCAGGGGCCGGGGGCCGGGATGTCTGGACCCCGGCTGAGGGACAGGGGAAGGGCTGTCAGTGGTTCTCATCCTCTGAACCCTTCCCTCGCCTCCCTGCCCGCCTCTGATGGGAAGCTCGTCTCAGGGAAGGCGCCCCCCCCGCCTCTACCATCACCCACGGTTGGCAGGGGTTCCCCCTGAGGTCCCTCGGCGTCCCAGGGGGTCTCAGCCCCCAGCACGGCTAGCTGGGAACACGGGACAGAAAACCAAGGCGTTTCCATCCATCCATTCATCCACCTATCATCCACACATGTATCTGGGGCCCTGAACGCCGAGCTGCAGGAGTAGCGCTCAGGGAGGGTGGTCTGCAGCCCTTGCCTGAGTTATGGGGGGTCTCTGAGGCCCCTGTCAGAGTTGTAGCAGCCGCCCCTGGCTCACCCCCTCCCACCCAGGGCCACTGGTTTGAAATAAAAGAACCCTTGGTGAGAGGAATACCTGAGCGTACTTATCTTAAGGAGTTGTACTTCCTTCACATCCTTTTCACTCTCCACTCAGCCTGTCCCCTTAACAAATTCCATACATTTTACTGCCTTGGGCCCTGTATTTGATTTCTTAGTGTTAGCCCTTGAAAGTAAAATAGCTGTCAAGTCTAAGTGAATTGGTTGGGAAAGGGGGTGGGAGGTGAAGAGGAAAGAAGGAATCCTTATGTCCAAGATCAAATGGGATCAAGTACCTAAGGTCATAAGGCTCTGTTTCAGTGGGAGCTGTTAGGCTCATCTAGTCCATCATTTACTTTAGAAAAGGTAAATAGGCCAGCTTTCATGTTGGCAGATAGTCAGTTTCATTCCAAGCTTCTCATGCCCTAGAGTGATTTGGTTTTGTGTTTCTGCACCACCTGGAGAGGTTTGACATAACAAGAATTAAGTATAAAAACATGCTGAATAAAAAGTTTTTTGGAGGAGGTGGGAATAAACCTCACCTTTTTTTTTTTTATTCACTTAGTTGTTTTCAAGATTAATATTTGAATTTGCACTGAAGTATTCCTAATTAAAAAAAAAAAAACCACCTGTAAAAATAAAGCCCAGTGGTCATTGATATGAAATTAGAAGTGATTGTCCTAGTAGATGACACTGATAGATTAAATGCCACACAATAATTTATTCTTTCAAAAAATATTTACTAAGTACTCATTATGTCGTTGGCACTTAGTGGGATCCATAGATAGATAAGACCAAGTCCATGGCCTTAAGGAGATCATGACGTTAAACACATTTATCCGATTCACTGAAGTTTTCTGAACCTATTTATGAAAGTAAGACTGGAGAAAACCGGGAGGAGGATCAAGATTTGTAACATTAAAACATTTTCATCTTTCTACTACTGTAGTTTCCACGAGTGTGGAGAAGCATTTGCCTTTAATGTTGCCATTGGTTTCTAATCTTTTTGCTATGATTTTGGGGTGAAGACCTGAAATCCCCCTGTGTGTGTGTGGTTTTTTTAGACAATGAGAATTAAAAATGTGTGCACTTGAAGAAGTGCTGTGTTTTTGTTTGTCATAGTTCGGTTTGTCACAGGTTAGGCACAGTGACTGATTAAGGCTGTTGCACAATTGACCCATGCCACCTGTGGGTCCTTGGTTCTTTTGTTTAGTAGAATGTTTTCATCATCTGCCTTAGCACTTTGTGATAAGAGTGTGATCGTTTGAAGAAAAAAAAAACAACTAGCTATAATGCCTCAAAGTATTATCTGAGAATTTCTGATGGTTTTACATTATTCTGAATGAGTCTATACTTGCCTGGTCAAATTAGATTCTAGAAAAGATGGTTTAAGACTAGTGCAGGGTTTCTGCCTCCTGAAGAGGAGAAAATTAACTGTCTTGCGTATGATGGAAGGGTTTCTCATTTCCTTTTCTTCTCCCATATTTTGTTGCTCTCTTTTCTGTATTAAGGCATTGGACAACAAATAGAAGTTAGGAAAATGGCTATTTGAATCTCTAGGATTCTGAACTTGATGGTGAGATGAAGTCACAGTTCCATTGCATATTATGAGATTCTTGATTTTGTGGAATCTCAAAGTTGGAAAAAAACTTCATGAATCCTTTTTTCATTCATTCATTCATTATTCAACCAACATTTATTTAGTGCCCACTATGTATAAGGTAATATATTCAGTATTGATGTTTCATTCAATTTCATCTACCAGGACTGATGTTTCAGTTCCAATGACCTATATTTTCCCCTCATGCTTAGCTGTCCCTCTTTTCTATCTGACAGGATTCTCCTTTTTAGCCAGTTGATATCTCACAATTGCCCTAAGTATGGGGCTAGAAGTTTCGATAATTGAGAAGGGTTTCAAATGAGAGGTGGAGAAACAATTCTTCGTTTGCCACCCCAAATATTGCTGGCTAGCTTTATGCTGGTTAGAACATGATGTCGTATTGTGAAACTGATTCCCATTCAACTTCTCAGGACCCTGCTCTTGTCTATTGGACAAAGGCAACTGGGGGGAACTTCATGTGGTAAGATTAGGATGGAGAAGGGTAGGCTATTGTAGCATACAGATTCATACTGAATGTGAAGCAGCTGGTAATTTTCTGCCTATCTGCTCAAAAATCCCTGAGTAGTATCATACTTTGGGCCTGGGAATTTGTTCACTTTGATTTCTTTGCCATTGTGTGTTACTGACTGTTCCTTCTTGTGTCTCTGTCTACTCTGGACCAAGGGACAATGCTTTCTGTCAAAAGCTGAGGATGAAAGGGAGTACATGCACATGGTGTTATATTGGGTGATTATATTATGAACTGGGGATGAGGATTGAACATTTACCTCATTATCTAGAAGTATGGGTCCTGCTGTAATGTTTTTATCCTCCTGAGTGGCACTCAGGAATCTTGCCTATTGTCCTTCATTATCTTTCTATTGCATTTATATTTCTATTTCTATCTCATACCATAACTGGGGAAAAAGTCAATGTCTGTGGATGAGAGAACGGTGACATCAATCACTTTGAAGAATGGGGAGAGAATGACAAGAGAGATATTTTTTAGGTACTTTGAGGTAAAAGTTTTACTGCTGCAATGAAAATACAGTTTGAATTATTGTTGGAACCCACTCCATTGGGACTATTCCAATGCTTCTTACTAATCTGGATAAAACTTTTTCACCCTGTCTTTAACCGCTTCCAAATTCTCTGCCAAAGGTTTTAGCTGAAGCACATTGTATATTAGGGTGGTTTCCCTGGTGGCCTTATTAATAAACTGAAAGAATGTAACTGAGCATTTTCATATTTGTTTTTGCCATAGTGTTGAGGTCTAGGGGTGGTAGGAACCCCGAAATTCAAGGGCAAAAGATGTGGGTCCTGCCTTGAATGAATTTGACTCAAACCTCCTTTCAGTCAGAGACAAGGTTTATTAAAACACTGATTGAGGTGGGCATGATTTTAAGAATCCGTGGTATTGGCCAGATTTTAAGAATCTGAGCCTTTGTAATGAGAATACTACTTGGGCCAGACTGTTAAGGAATCTGAGCACTTTAATGGAGGCAAGATGGACCTTTTATACAGAAGACTATGGGAAGATCTGGATGTGATCTAGGAGTGGTGAAATAGTCTGGGGTGACTGGGAGGTAACAGAAAAGGACCGGGAAGGGCTAGGTACCCCAGGTGAACGACAGGGACCTGGGCCACATGGAAGGGGTCTAGATGGAATGAAGGGTGGGAAGTGGCTGGGGTGTTCTAGAGGTAGCAGACAATGAAGAGCTGGGCTAACTTAGAGGTAACAGAGAATTGGAGATCGGGACAGGGTCAAAGCCACAATACCAGAAACTGGGAAGGGCCAGGTGTCCCAGGTGAACGTCAGGGACCTGGGCCACATGGGAAAGTCCAGGGCCTTTTAGGAGTTCATCATTAGAGCCCCATCAGCGCTAACCATCACAAAACAAGTTATAGTGTAAGGACTCTTCTTTCTAGGTCCTCCACATGAGTGGGAAGCTCTCATAAGAATCAGAAAACATTCCAAATAGCAGATACTCATGCAGAATTGGGAGCGTAGTGGCCAGGACTTTGATACTGCTGAGATGAGCTGGGTCAGTTTGTCTCGGGCGGGTATTCTCAACCTGGAGTATGTGGTTTTCCTGTGGATTATGAGAAGCTTGTCAAGGGGCTATGCAGAGTTTTTCTTATGTGCCATATTCATGTCAAATTTTAGAATTTGTTTCCTCTCATATTGAATAGGATATAGGGGAATGTTTATGGAAAGCTAAGGGGCATGTGGACCAAAAAGGTTGGGAACACCTGTTCTAGGTTGTAAAAATTAGTTATAGATCCATATCCACATGATGTAGAAAAGAAAGGATTGTAGAGAAGCATAAAAGGGCTTCATTTTGCTCCTGTGCTGAGGTTAGATCTCTTAGATGTTTCAAAAAGTAAAATCAACATGCTGTAGAAAACTTAGACATGAGTGATATTGCAAGTGTGTGTTAGTGCACAGGCTTTAAATGGAAGAAGTAGAGGGAGGGCTGGCTTTCAGGAAGATCCGAGTTCAAATGTGGCATTAGACACCAGCTATGTGACCCTGGGCAAGTTATTTAACCCCCTGGCATCCTGGGCCAGTGCTAGTCATCTTGATCTTTTTCTTACCACTGGACTTTGATGACTCTGGAGGAAAGAGTGAAGCTGAGGAGTGTGAAGTTCTGCCCCACTCATATCCAATTCATGAACAAGTCCAGACATCACCGTTGTATGTCATCGGTCCTCGTTGAGAAAGAAGGATGAACAGCAAGAGCTCTGCATGAAGTCTCTACACAGAGTGGACTTCCAGAGCAGGTGTTGTGAGTTAAACCTTGTGACACGTATTTCTTTTTTCTTTTTCCTTTATTTTTGGTGAGGCAATTGGAGTTAAATGACTTGCCCAGGGTCACACAGCTAGTAAGTGTCAAATGTCTGAGGCCGGATTTGAACTCAGGTCTTCCTGACTCCAAGGCCAGAGCTCTGT